AAGTCGGAGATGTGAAATCAGAGTCCTTTATCAAAGCTTTTCAAGATTCTTATACCACTCATGATAGAAGTTACACACAATTATATCTTTCTAAAAATGTTCTCCCCTTGCAAATGTGAATTTGAATGAAAGGATGGCATTTGCAGACATCACAAAACAGACACTGCTCCCACCTCTCAGCAAGCACCAGAGACGTCCGGCCACACCTGAGCACTGCCATGGTTCCTGGTGTGACGTGCCCTCCAGAAGGACTATTGCTTCAGCCAGCGACAATGGTACGAGAGAGAAAGCCAAGATGACTTGGACTGTCCTTTTCCACAATGCTGTGACTATTATTTAGCACTTTTTAATAATTAACTAACTAATAATTACAATCAACACCCAGTGTATGCTCACGACACACCAAGCCCCGAACTAGCACTCTATATGGAGAACCTGCTTTAATCCTCCTGTAACACAGGAGCTAGGTTATTATTATTCCCATTTTATGGCTGAAGAAACTTGAAGGGTTAGAGAAGCTGTCTAAAGAGCTTTTTAGATAAGTATTTTAAACTAACTGTCTAAAGCCACAGAGCTAAGATAAGCCCCAGCACAGTCTGGGTCCATGACCTTGCTGTAAGGCAAGGAGGTAACTGCTCACTGGGAGACAGATAAACATGCTCGAGGGAGCCGTCAGTGACCGGAGTGGATTACAGTCCCCTCATCAATCCCTACTGGAGAAGACAAGCTATATCTCTTCCTGTTTGGAAGTGATGCAGGCAATGTCAGATTTAGCAGTGTGACATTTTTTTACAAAGCATTTAAAGAAGTTTTTTAATTCCTACTCTAGTAGAGATTGGCAAACACACAGGGCTTAGTGCTTTTCACCCACAATGAAAACTAATAGGTTTTCCTATTAGTTACTCGGGGCCTTAATGAAAAAAAAAAAACTGAACGATTTAAAAATAATAATAAAAGAACAAAAGGAGATGTTGGGTTTCCCTAGTGGCTCAGATGGTAAAGAATCTGCCTTCAATGTAGGAGACCCTGGTTTGATCTCTGGGTCAGGAAGACCCCCTGAAGAAAGGCATGGCAACCCACTCCAGCACTCTCTCCTGGGAAATCCCACGGACAGAGGAGCCTGGTGAGCAACAGTCCACAGGGTCACAAAGAGTTGGACAAGATTAAGCAACTGACACTTGGAAAGGAGCAGAAACAAAACAATTATGTACTAAGCGATTCCAGATTTTATTTTACTCAAATAAAACCCCAAAGCCTTATTGTCAGATGAGACTTTAGATTTCTAGAAGACAGTGGGGGTTGGCAGACAGACAGAATGGGGAGGGGCTTCTCTGGCAGTCTGTGGTTAAAGCAACGTGCTTCCAAAGCAGGGGTCCTCGGTTCAATCCCTGGTTGGTGAACTAAGATCCCACATGCTGCTCAGCACAGCCAAAAGATCTTACGGAAGCCGCTCTGAGATGGGAAATGGTGACACAGGGAAGGGACGGGGTGTCAGCAAAGCGGCACAGTGGTGCACACGCAGCTGCATCTGGAGCCCACACTTGTGCCCACAACAGCGCCGGCCGAGTGAAACACAGAACGAGGGAGAGGAGGGAGCACTCCTGCCCTGGGGCTGGTTTGACATCTCTCTGCTCAGTGCCAAGTCCTGCAACTTGCATCGTCGAAGGCCAAGGACACGGCCGCTGCCTCTCATCTCAGATGGAGGAAGTGCCAGCATGAAGGATGAAACGTGTTATCCTGTAGAGTTCAGGCCTCGTGTGTGACCATTTATTAAGTCCTTACCAAGTCGTGGGAATTGTGATTAAGTCCTAGAGACACAAAGATTAATAGGATATGGGCCTTCCTTTCCCAAACACCATCTAAGAAGAGACAGCCATAAGTGAATGATTATAGCAAGGGGAAGCAGCGCTGTCATTCCAGGATGTAGGTGTGAATGGGAGACTGGAAGCGGAAGCAGAAGCAGGTGATACTGCCTGGGGAAGACCTGGACTGCACTGTTCGGGTCAAATCTGGTGGGAGTCTGCCAGCCAGGCAAGGGGAGACACTGCAGAGAAAACAGCACGGGGGACTTCTGATGGTCTAGAGGTCAGGGGGTGTGGTTCTATCCCTGGTCAGGGAACTGAGATCCTGCATGCTATGAGGTGTGGCCAAAAAGTAAAAAGAAAAGAGAAGCAGCAGGTGAGAAACAGTAGTAATTCCCAACACACACACACACACACACACACACACACACACACACACACACGAAGCAGCAGGCGTGAGACAGTAATAATCCCCAACACACACACGCGCGCGCATGCACACACACATAGATGTTCGGACTTACTCAGACCTAGTCAGATGACTGAGGATGAGAAAGATCATCAAGTGCAGCACAACGCCACTTAATGCTTGCAATTATTCTCTAAAAGTGTAAACCTGAAACTTATCATCAATCCCTTTTCTACCCACAATAGTATGGGAGCTGAACTCTCTGATTTTGGGGGGCATTCATATTTAACAAGAATTGAAACAGGTGTGGTTCTGCACTGCAGTCCTGCAGTGCAGTACATGTCTGTTTGTTTGCTTGAAAATGTAGATGGCAGATGTTGACTTCGAGGTAGGTGGCAAGAAATGGGTTTCCGCTTCTGCTTTGTTGCAAAGGTTTCCAAACAGCTTCCACGGGCGTAAAGCACATGGATCCAGTTCTCAGCATGGGCTTCTCTAGACGTCTTCCCTGAAGAATTCTAATTCCTGCAGCAAACGTGGAGCGGCATTTTTTTTTTCATCTCAAAGCCTTTAGCTGGAGGCAGTGCCTGTTTGGTCTGCCCTTTTAGGAAAAGAAATGCTAAGTAGGGGTGGGTTTACATGAAAGGGAGACAAGGGAATGACAAGATGGGCCAGCACAGAACCTGTCAAGTTTCTGGAGACTAATAGCCTCCATGACGTTACCAGAGGCAACTCAGAAACGCAGCCAACAGGAAACCATGCTGATCGACAGCAGGGCTCCAGCAGCATGCATGCTGGATAATTCTCGGCAGTGGGGGCTGTTCTGTGCACTCGGCAGCATCCCTGGCCTCCACCCACGGATGCCTAAAGCACCATCCAGCTGTGACGAGCAGAAGGTCCCTAGATGTTGTCCCCAGTTGAAATCCCTGATCTAGATTAACTCTGAGCAGTAACAACACCACAGAGCCTCAATCCTGTTCACTGTTTCCTTTTGAAAATCTTTTTGTTGGTAGTATCACCGTCACCCCACAAATAAGCTCAGTAAAGAACTATCATGATGGGCCTGTGACATACCCAAGTCCTGATATGAAGCAGTTAGGGACCTACGAGAAACAGGAAGCCTTGTGCATGAAATTCCCCTGATTAAAGTAGGCTCTAAATGGCAGTGACTATTCAGTTGCCTCTGGGATGTGACGAGGATGGAGACGTGGTTCATTTGTTCGGTCATGTGTTTGATCACTCAGCAAACATTCTTGAGCATCACAGGGTGCCAGGCGCTATGCCAAGTGGACAAGGCAAACAAGTCCAGGCCTCCAGGAGCATGTGCTCAAATCAGAGAACAGAGGTAAATAGGAGGCATCATGCTCCCCATCGTAAGTGCAGTGATGAATGAAACAAAATGAAACAAAAGCACAAGTGGGATAGGGCTGCAGCCACTGTCCCTGTGTGGCCACTGAGCCAGGGAACATGATTCACTCAAACTGAGATGTGCCAACCACACAGACCCCAGACTTAGTGCAGGAAGAGAATGTAAGCTGTCTTGCTAACAATTTTTATATTGATTAGATATGTCAATGATCATGTCCTGGGCATACTGGCCTAAATAAAATCTACTATTACAGTTAATTGGGACTGTTTCATTGACTTGTTTATGCGGCTGCTAGACGCTGAAGCCCACATGTGTGGCTCATCCTGCCCTTCTGTTCCTTCAGCCTGAGAAATCTCCACTGCCCACCAGCAGCCCGGCCCCAGCAAATGGCAAGTTCACAGGCTCTGTGGTGGGAATGAACTTGGCCTGGCTGAGGCTGCGGGGCTGCCACATACTAGGCAGGGGCTTGGAAGCCAAGTTAAGGAGTCGGGGAGTTTCGTCCCAGGAGCACTTGGAGAGACCTGGAGGGTTTGCCCCAGGGGAATGCCACAATTTGATTTTAACTTACAAAGATGCCGCGCTCTGGTGGCTGTGCAGAGACAGGACAGGTGAGGACAGAGAAGGACTGCTGGGTGGGAGGGGTCAGTCCCTGGGGTCCCTCAGGTTTTGGCCCCTTGGGGTGACCTGAGAGATGGAAGTCCGAGATGCTGCTTCCTTCATGGGGCACAAGGGTCTTATTAATTCCCTGTACATTGCATTTGATTATGTGGACAACCCTTACTCCACGACAATAGGAAAATGAAATTTTTTCATCATCCAGATCGGGCCTCGGGCTTCTGAGAGTGATCCTGCTGCTTCTAGAAGTCCAGCATAACCTGCCTCCCTCCAGAGAGGGAAGTGAACCAGCTTCCCTCCGTGAACTGGTTTCCTATTTCCTGTGCATCGCCACACAAATTAAGCTTTTCACTGTTCCCCTCTCACTGAATTCTCTGACTTCATTCTTGGCATTTACTATGAACACACAGTTCAGTTTAGCTTTCTTCTCTTGTGAGGGTCCCCACACACACATTTTTCCTGGGCTCTATCTTTACATCTTAGCTCCCCTGCTTCACCCCCAAAGCCCCTCACTCAAGGATGTCACCTGAACAGTAACCCTCCAAGCTCATTAATTCTGGCATTTTCCGTTTGTGCTGCTCTTTCGAGATTCTCCTTTTCCCCTTCTTGTTGGTCATCATTGCCACCGGTGAGTCATCAGCTCTGAGTCATGCCTGGCCGGGATGCAAAGGCCTCGGAGCACACCTGTCTGTGAAAGGCTGGCCCTTGGGAACACGGCCCGCACCCAGCACGAGCTTCCATACATGGATTCAGTAACGAGGAGAAAAAACAATCCCCTTGACTCTCTTTTTTTCCCCTCCAGATTTACCATTTCTTTCAGCTTTTGGTGGAGATGATTCCCACAGTGCAGTGCGTCTTGATCATTCACTTTGCATCTTCAGAGGCAGAAAAAAGTTTCCAGAATGAGCCCAGAAGGCCCCAAGGATGAGAGGCTTTTCTTCCATGACGTCCCTCCTCTGTCACGACACGGACTGTCACCCCATGTGCCACGCTGGAACCACACCACCTTCTGAGAGCTATGAAGATACCACCAAACTGTGCGTAAAACACGGACGATGGGCCCCACCCCAGACCAGGACATGGGAGAGATGAGCTGTAAGCGCAGCGTGGTACTTGGACTGGACCTGCGTGAACCTGAGAGCCAGCGCTGCCCTCACAGGCTGTGATGGGAGGCACACAGGCCTCCTCGCCAGGGCTAACCCTGAAGCTCAAGGCACCGATCTGAACCCACAGATACAAGCTCTGCTCCCCCACTCCCCCCTGAAGGCCCCATGCTCTACCATCACAGATTCCTTTTTTTCTAAGCATCTCCCTTCTAAGTATAAAACTCTTGGCAGAGGTGTTGCCATCAGCTCTCAGCACCTGGGAACAAACCAGCCTAACAGGTCCCCACAGCAAGGGGTCCGAAAAGGCAAGAGACAAGAAAAGTCAGGACGGGAGTGCAGTGTGTGGGATGACATGGGGTGGGGTGGGGGTGGCACCTGGGGACATTAAAGGACATCCAGTCTCTGCAAAGAGACACAGAAATGGGCAGAGATGGTGCCACTGGGGAGGAGACTGGGAAGCCAGGGGAGGGGAAGTAGAGACAGAAATCAGTTTTCCCTGGACTTCCTCCCATATCATTTGAGTTTTGTACCATCTGCATGAATTACCCAGCCAACAAAAAATTAAATAGGGGAGGGATGGGAACTGGGTATCTGGGTAAGACGAAGCCAGCAATAAAAAGGCCTCTGAAGGCGAAGGGACAAGTTACATTGGCCGCTCTGCTCACAGGCTGCCCTGCTCTCACCACCCCCAACCCCACTCTCCCCGCCCAGGCCCAAATCACAAGTTTTTCTAGCAACTCCTACATGGCCCTTTTTCTGAACCTTTTTCAGGGTCAAAATCTGAGACACTGAAACTCAGAATTCTCAAAAGCCTTACTTAAAAGCCCCTCAGAATCACTGGGAAAGCCCCACAAAGGAAAAATGTGACTGCTCTGATATTGTGGCCTCCAGCTCCGACCGGCTGCGTGAGGTCTGACACGGGAACATCGTGTCCAGCTTCATCGATTATCTCGCCGTCAGGGAGCCAACCCTCCGCCACAAGGGCAGAGACAGAAGGGTGCCAGGGGAGCAGTCATCCCCCCAGGGCCCCTTGGAGCCACCAGAGAAACTTCACATCCTGCCCCAGGCTGCAGCCACCAGGGAGACCTCACTGCCAGCGGCTGTGGGAGAGGCCACGGACTCTGCAGGCAGTCAGGAGGTTCGTGCGGCCCTGGGTGACCCCGCACAAGTCCCGCTGTGGCTCAGACCCTCCCTCTCTGCGCCCAGGACACACCAGAGCACAAGCTGTAAGCTGCAAGGATCACAAATGCTTTAGGCACAACATCCAAATCCATGTCATTAGCCCGAAAAATAACCCGGCCCCTCTTGCCAGTTTTACCCCATAAAATGTTACTGGATCTCGAAGCTAGAAGGTGTTATTTATGCTTTGAGCACTCCGTGAACTGAACCATGGAAAGAGATGCTGAGGGACCTCCCTGGTGGTCCAGTGGCTAAAACTCTGTGGTCTCAATGCAGGGGACCCGGGTCCTAGATCCCACATGCCACAGCTAAACGTCCTGCATGCCGAAACAAAGACCTGGCGCAGTCAACTAAACATTTTTTTTTTTTTAAGTCATAAAGTCATAATGGAATAGGTTGGGCCCCAAATCCAATTTGACTGGTGTCTTTATAAGGAGAGACAGGGAGACACACACGGAGGGAAGATACTGTGAAAACACACATACATACACACAGACACACAGGGAGAAGGCCATGTGACCACAGAGGCAAGGATGGGGGTCATGCAGCTGCAAGCTAAGGAACAGAAAGGATGGCTGGAAACCCCCAGAGGCTGACAGGGGGGCAGGAACAGATACTGCCTCTGAGACCCCAAGAAGGAACCAACCCTGCTGACACCTTGATTTTGCACATCTTGTCTCCTGATCTGTAAGAGAATAATTACCTCTTGCTTAAAACCCCCCAGTTTGTGGTACAAAAATACTGTTACAGCAGCCCTAGGAGACTCATAAAGAACCTGATCTGGTTTTATTGTCTGTCTAAAGCTTAAAATTCTCTGGCCTGACAGTCAGCTGACCAGCCTACGGATGGCTGTCTCTAGTAAAAGAAGACTAACTTATTATCTACCAATGCAGCAATCCCTCTTATCTTTGACAAGGTCTGTTATAAAAAATCATTCATTTAGAAAATATTTATTGAGCACCTACTACATGTCAGGCACTCTTTGGGGCACTGTTGATACAATGTTAAATGGGGAGCCAACACTAAAAGCAAGTACACATATGGCCATTTCTGATACCAATGACAAAGGTAAAACAATATAACATGAGCGAAGTGGGTTAGGGACCAGGATGAAATTATTTAGATTGTTAGGGGAGGTCCCACTAAGCTTGGGATACTGGACCAGTGACCTGATTGACAAGGAGTCAGCCATGGGAGAATTTGGCTGGAGGAACAGCCAGTGCAAACGCCCTGAGACAGAGCAAGTTAGAGCCAGTCAAGGCTCAGAAAGAAGGAAGGACTTTTGTTGAGGGAGGGAGTGGCAACTGATGAAGCTGGAGCAACGAGGAAGGTCAGCCAGTCCTGGCATAGTGGGCCCAGGTCAGAAGCTTGCATCTGATCTCACGACTACTAAGATGTCACTGGGGAGAGACATGACTTGATTCATAGTTGTTGGTTGTTGTTGTTGTTGTTGTTTTTTAATCACTCTGGGACTTCCCTGGTGGTACAGTGGCTAAGAATCTGTCTGCCAATTCAGGGGACACGGGTTCGATCCGTGGTCTAGGAAGATTCCATATGTTGCTGAGCAACTGAGTCTGAAAGTCACAACTACTGAGCCCGAATGCCACAACAACTGAAGCCTGCGCACCTGGAGCCTGTACTCCTCAACGCAAGAACATTCACCTTTGTCATTCCAGATCTACACATCCACTGATGTGCCCCAGACTGGCTTGACTTTTTAAAAATTGTTTTGTACCACTGACCTGCTGAAACACACTCAGATAAACTCCTCTGGTGTCCTTTTTCAGATCTAGATGCTCAGATCTAGAAGATGGGATTCAAGTTTATTCTTTCCTATTGAGAACAGCTGTGCCCTCTTTAAAGAAAAAAAAAAAAAGCATCGCCATAACGCAAACAATGCCATGTATAAAAAAAGCTAGATAAAACAAACAAAAGTACTGGGTCAACTCCTCAGGTTTCACAACCACTGCATTTTTCTTCCGGGTGGAGGACAAGGAAAACGATTATGGCAAATGTCCCTAGAATTGCCTTGGGTCTGTTGCATCACACGGCTAAAGACACCTAGACTATTAGGAAACTCTGAGCGCTTGAGCAAAACACTCCCTGCAATCATACTTCCCACTAGGTTTCTCAAGGACCTATAAACAAATCTGAGTACACGCAGATGCTCAAGCCTGGGGTAGAAGGAAGTGGTGGAGAGCATCTACGCCTGAGAGCCATGCTGCCTTAGCGAGCGGGGAAAGCAGTGGGAGACAGGGATGCTGGGAACCCTCGGGCCCTGGGATGTGTGTGTCATCGGCCCGCATCCTGCATCCCGCTCGGCAGAGCAGTGATGGGCCACTGCATCTGGTGTCAGACAGCTAGGCTGAACATTCTGCTTTGCCCCTACTAGCTAAGTGGCCACGAGCAAGCCATTTAGCCTGTTTCCTCATCTGTGACATTTATGAAGATCAGTTAAGATTCTGTGTGTGAGAATCCTTTACAAATTACCCTGTGGTGTAAAAGTGAGGGGTTATCATTGGCAATTGGGATTTTTACTCCTCCCTTTGCAGGTCATATGGGTTGACTTTCCCTGACTTTCTCTCTTCCCAGAGAGAAATGCTTTTGATGTTTCTTTTCACCTTATTATTTTCTTTTGAGACAGGAGGAGAAAAGAGACAGAGGCAGGTAGCATGACTCATTCCACCTTAAACCTTTCCTAAAAACTGTCCTAAAAGAAGTCCCCTCAGAGCCATTTTGTCGCTCTGTCATGTCTGACTCTGCAACCCCATGGACTGTACCCTGCCAGGCTCCTCTGTCCTTGAGGTTCTCCAGGCAAGAAAACTGGAGTGGGTTGCCATTTCCTTCTCCTCTTGACTTTTTAAAAATTGTTTTGTACCACTGACCTGCTGAAACACACTCAGATAAACTCCTCTGGTGTCCTTTTTCAGATCTAGATGCTCAGATCTAGAAGATGGGATTCAAGTTTATTCTTTCCTATTGAGAACAGCTGTGCCCTCTTTAAAGAAAAAAAAAAAAAGCATCGCCATAACGCAAACAATGCCATGTATAAAAAAAGCTAGATAAAACAAACAAAAGTACTGGGTCAACTCCTCAGGTTTCACAACCACTGCATTTTTCTTCCGGGTGGAGGACAAGGAAAACGATTATGGCAAATGTCCCTAGAATTGCCTTGGGTCTGTTGCATCACACGGCTAAAGACACCTAGACTATTAGGAAACTCTGAGCGCTTGAGCAAAACACTCCCTGCAATCATACTTCCCACTAGGTTTCTCAAGGACCTATAAACAAATCTGAGTACACGCAGATGCTCAAGCCTGGGGTAGAAGGAAGTGGTGGAGAGCATCTACGCCTGAGAGCCATGCTGCCTTAGCGAGCGGGGAAAGCAGTGGGAGACAGGGATGCTGGGAACCCTCGGGCCCTGGGATGTGTGTGTCATCGGCCCGCATCCTGCATCCCGCTCGGCAGAGCAGTGATGGGCCACTGCATCTGGTGTCAGACAGCTAGGCTGAACATTCTGCTTTGCCCCTACTAGCTAAGTGGCCACGAGCAAGCCATTTAGCCTGTTTCCTCATCTGTGACATTTATGAAGATCAGTTAAGATTCTGTGTGTGAGAATCCTTTACAAATTACCCTGTGGTGTAAAAGTGAGGGGTTATCATTGGCAATTGGGATTTTTACTCCTCCCTTTGCAGGTCATATGGGTTGACTTTCCCTGACTTTCTCTCTTCCCAGAGAGAAATGCTTTTGATGTTTCTTTTCACCTTATTATTTTCTTTTGAGAGAGGAGGAGAAAAGAGACAGAGGCAGGTAGCATGACTCATTCCACCTTAAACCTTTCCTAAAAACGTCCTAAAAGAAGTCCCCTCAGAGCCATTTTGTCGCTCTGTCATGTCTGACTCTCTGCAACCCCATGGACTGTACCCTGCCAGGCTCCTCTGTCCTTGAGGTTCTCCAGGCAAGAAAACTGGAGTGGGTTGCCATTTCCTTCTCCCAGGGATCTTCCTGGACCAAGGAGCAAACCTATGTCTTCTGCATTGGCAGGCAAATTCTTTACCACTGACCTTCCTGAGAAGCCCTTCAGAGCCATTTGGGGGTCACCCTAAAGCAGTTTACCTCTGAAGAACCAAAGCTGACTGTCATGCAAAAAGGACCACGTCTAATATCTGTGGATATTCTGCACTGTCTGGAAATCTGTAGCAAATTATTTAAGGTTTGTGATTTACTCAGGTCACTGGCTTTTCATTGGCCCTAGTTGCTGTGTTCTCAAATAATACAAACTATCTTCACATTAACCCACACATGCCATACAAAAGACAAACATGGCAGGAAATCACAGGAATGTATTCCAGAACCAAATGAGAAGTTAGAGATAATCTGCTCAGTAAAGTGCATATGCCTGAGTCCTCAACCATCTTCATCTCTTTCATGGAAAAAGAACCTCATGAGTCAACTTTCTCATTGTGAGCTGATCTCAATAGCCGATCGCCCTGTGCTTCAAATGCGTAAGCAGTCCTATTTCTGCACCAAGTGGAAACAAAAGCCAGTGACAGCCCAAGGGAGAGATGGAACAAGGGGGACACACACACTTCCAAACAGAACCACGGAAAGATGGAAAGGAGCGCTCACGTGTAATACAAATGAAATTTTTTCCTTTGCTTAATTCAGTGTTAAGCATCCAACCATGGTTGCCCTGGTTTAGGTTGAGGGGGGGTGCCTAGAATCAAATGAGCGCCAAACCTCAGCTTTAGGTGACAGTGGTCTGGACGGTGGCCTGGTCCCTGACAGCTGTCAGCTTGCCCCTAGCGTTTACTCACCCCAGCAAGTCAAGCTGCACGTCAAGCTCCTCACCTGTGCCAGCTCAGAGGTGGGTTCCTGCCCAGTCTGCAGAGGGCACCCTGGCCTCACACTTAACCGGAGTCACAGGAGCTGGCCAGTTGCTACTAACCAAGTCCTCTTCCTCCTCCCAAATCCAATCAGCCTACAACCCGGGGAAGCCCAGACCCCACGCAAGGCGAAACTCGCACCCAGCTCCAGAAAATCCCCCATCCTGTCCTTTCCAAGACCCTGGTCCCTGGGCCAGGCCACCCTGAAGCAGCTGGTCTCCACAGCGCGGGTACCGCGGCCCCGCGGCAAAGCTCCTCTTGCTCCCGACCACTGAGGGGAGGCGGGGACCCCGGGGATGCGAGCCGAGCCCTTCTCCTGTGCCCCCACACCGCCCCCGCTGCCGCCTAAGAAGCAGAGGGGCAGCAAACTTAAAGCCCAGCACGCAGCACAACTCGCCAAGAGTCTTCCCCATCCCGGTTCGAGGAAGCCCCTCCCCAGCACGCTCGTCCAGGAGTGGGGGGGTTCCTCCCCCCAAACTGGGGAACGGGCTCCATTCCTAAGTCACCTGGCGATACCGTCAGCCGCCAGGGATGGGGACACCTTTTCCAGCCCCCCCACCCACCCAGGGAGCGCCCAAGGTGGACTCTTGGCCCCCTCTTCCCGTTTCCTCACCNCCGGGGGCACTCTTGGGGACCTCAAACAGAAGGTCGCCGCAACCCCCGTTTCCTGGATCTGCTCAAAAAACTAGGGTGTTCTCCCGGGCCGAGCAGAGCTGGGGAGTGGGGGGTGGGTGCAGGCCGGTCTGCGGGCAGATGAGTGGATTATTTGGTGATTCTGGAGGTGGGGAAGCCCGGGAAGGAAGTATAACCTGATTCGGGTTGCTTTACCCCTCCCTGGTGTCCGCACCTTTAAGACAGGGATCCCCTTATGCCATTTCCTGCTTGCCTGTTTCAGTTAGGCTGAAGCCTTGACATTAAGGAACGTACTTGTAAAACAAGTCAGGCAAGGATGTATGGAACGGAAGGGCACCGTGAGGCCGATTGATTTTTTTTTGAAAGGGGGGGCATCTTAAAAAGCTGATGGATTCCACTTTCTGCTCCAGAACTCCTATGCCCATCAAGCATCTTTTCACCAGATACAGTAAACACAATTTTCGGGCTGTCCGGCTTGGGTTTCTTCCACATCTCTTCAAAAGAACAAACCAAAACCACAAAAGGTAAAAAATACGTGTGCTTCGGACACTTTTTTTTAAACTTTTTATTTTATATTGGAGTATAGCTGATTAACGTTGTGACAGTTTCAGGTGGACATCAAAACAACTCAGTCATACATGCATCTGGAAGACTTTTCAGTTCAAGAGCAAGCATAGGAATGTAAATGGACACCCCCCCCCCCCAAACATTTTGGGTTATGGCAAGCTTGGTTCTAGCACCTAGTGAAACAGCCTGAGTTATGACACTGCAAATTCTCTGAAGACAGTGCCAGAGCCACACGGCAGAGCTATAGAGCGCCTTTGGGTGGGTAACTAAGCTGTGTCCAACTCTTTTCGACCCCATGGACTGCAGCCCTCCAGGCTCCTCTGTCCATGGGATTTCCCCAGCAGGAATACTGGAATGGGTCACCATTTCCTTCTCCAGAGTATCTTTCTGACCCAGGGATCGAATCTGCAACTCCTGCATTGGCAGGCAGATTCTTTACCACTGAGTCACCAGGGAAGCCCTTATAAGGCTCAACCTTTAAATAAATGCCCTGGCATCTGAACTAGGGCAGAATGTCAGCTTCAGAAAACTGGGGCGGGGGGCGTTCTCTGAAGTCAAGGAGTTAGGCAGGAGGAACTGGAGTTCTGCCACTTAGAAGAAAAGACGACCTGTGGATTGACGATCAGGTGTCTTTCTTGTGCCCCACACATGGAGCTGCTGGTCCCTGGGAAGGTGGCCTGTTAAGACTTGCTTGGGAAAGTTTAACGGACCAAAGGGAAGGAAAGAGCTGGGAGCTGCGGTTCTATGAGGCGTGGGGCCTTCAGCACCTCAGCTGCTTTTGGTCCATTTCGAATTTGCATGACCAGCTCCGCGTAGTCATCATTTGTGAGAAACAGATCTCTGGCTTTTTTAAGCTTCGTGTGAATTCAGAGAAGTATAAGATGGTGTTCATTCCCTTATGTGGGCACTACAGACGGGGGCATCCCGCAGGCTACAAGACCATCATGAAGACTGTGTGGAATGGGGGAGGCTCGTACCTGTGACTGGAGGAAGTCCTACCTTGGTTCAGTGAGTGAACCCAGCACCAGAAGTGGACTCCTGCAGCCTTGTTCTCACTCTGGCGATTCCAACTGTTCAGGAAAATGGGAAAATGAGGGTTCATTCAGGGTGAGACTCCATTTGGGGGAAATATCATTTGTCCTCAAGAGGTTCCTCTCTCTCCAAACCTCAGAAAAGACCTTCTGAACTTGCCAGAAGGTTGGAGAGAAGCACATGACACGGCCATTTTACTTAAAAAGGGGAAGAAAGTAAATTCTGCAAACCACAGACCAGTGAACTAGACATTGGGCCTGGGAAACATTCAGGACAGATGACTCATGAAAAACATCTGTGACCCCTCAGAAGAGGAAGCACCAGTGGCAAAGATCAAGTCATGCTGGGTTAACCATGAGATTTCAAGATACGAAATCTATACTGGTAATTCGAGGAAATATAGAACTAGTGTGTTTGGACCTGGGAGGTATATTTACCAGAATGTAAATGTGTAAGTGACAAAAGTCCAGGCAAACTGGTTTTTCAAAAAGAGGGAATATAGGGACTTCCCTGGTGGTCCAGTGGTTAAGACTGAGCTTCCACTGCAGGCGGTGCAGGTTTGACTCAGGTCGGGGAACTGGGGTCCTGCATGCCTCAAGACACACCCCCCCCAAAAAAAAAATGGTAAAGTGGTAATAGTAGGAATACAGTGGCTTACATGACTGAAAAGTTCTGGGGTTGGCCCAGCCAACCCCAGGGGCCAACTTGGATCCAGGGGCCAAGTGACATCATCAGAACTTGGTCTCATCTCTCTCACCTTCTTGACTGCTTCCCTTTGAGGTGGGCTTCATTCTCAGATCAGATTCTTTTTTTCCTTAGTATCTTTTCTTTTTTTTTGAGTATCATTGCTTTACAATGCTATTAGCTTCTGCTGCACAACAAAATGAATCAGCCATGTGTATACACGTTTCTTCCTGTAGAGGGCGCTTCAGGAGCAGGAGGCTATGAGCTCCTCTCCCAGTTGTATGACCTTCAGCACACTCCTTAAACTCGGTGGGCCTGTTTCTTCATCTGAACAAGGGGTCAGTCAATGCATGTTCATTCATTCATTTGCTGTGTATTGCACTGTCGCAGGAATGGGAGAGAAGGAGGAATTTTTAATAATGTGCCAGGGAGGAAGACATGCTGAAGGGCAGGAGAGAGCCAGCTTGGGATTCCAGAGAATGCAGAGCCCAAGGCACAGGCCTGCTGCCCCCAAGGGCTCTACCTGCAGCCGGAGGCAAGGTGGCCCAGTGAAAAGGAATTCAGGAACAAGTCACTCCACTTTGGGTTGTTTAGACTTCCTGGGCCTTGTTCAACCCCTTGGGTTGGCGAGCTTCAGCCTTCTGGCTTCCCTGATCTGGCTGATGCATTCCACATCACAATCTCAGTGGAAAAAATGAGAAACCACCCAAACTCCATTCTGAATAAATTTCTGATTTTTCCACTATACAGCCCTTGGAAGTCTCTTTCTCTCCCACTGTTAAAGTACCAGCATACAAATCGTAAATGTACAAGGCTGAATTTTTACCAAGTGAACACTCATACAACTAGCACCCAGCTCAAGAAAGAGAAGATTACTAGCCCCCTAGTATCCCCACTACAGTGGTAGTCACAGCCCTGCCCTGTCTTCCTATACCAAAGGTCAGTTTTGCCCAATTTTGAGCTTTTATTCAACATCCTGTTTGTGAGATTTACTTGTGTGTAGTGGACACTTTCATTCTGTATAGTATTATATTTCACTGTATAGGTATACTACTATTTGTTCATTCTAGCCCCAAACTGCAAACAACCTGAATATCCATGAACAATGCTGTACTGTGTATTTCGGGAACATTCTAACACAAGTCTTTCCATCTGTCTTCAGTAGATACCCCTAACGGTCCTGTGGGGTGGTTTAACAATCACATTCCTGCCCCCAGCAGTGAAGTGGATGGAAGTCCCAGTTTCTCTGCACGCTCACCAGCACTTGGTGTTTTTTCATCTTAGCCATTCTAATGGGTATGTAAATAGTATTTCATTGTGGTTGAAGTTTGCATTTCCCTGATGACTAATGAAAATTAGCATTTTTTCACGTTTGGATTTTCTTCTGTGAAGTACCTGTTCAAGTGTTTTGCCAATTGTTCTATTGGGTTGTCTCATTTATTTTAAATTTTTATGTATTTAAAAATGGATACACGGTTTACAAACCTAACAAGTTACAAACCTGTTCCTTGTACATTTTCCCAGGAATTGTATATATAAACATATATATTCCCCAGATCTTCTTTTTCAAATACACAATTTTACACCATAGTTAGTTGGTGATGGACAGGGAAGCCTGGCATACTGCAGTCCATGGGGTAGCAGAGTCAGACACAACTGAGCAACTGAACTGAACTGACATCATAGAGTTAATATACCTCAAAGATCACTGCACAGTATTCCATTCCTATGTATAACATACTCTACTTAATATACTGACAGCATATAGGGCGATGCAGTTTTTTGCTTCTACAAACATTCTACTGTAAATACTGAAGTGCAAATATCTTTGTGTGCATGAGGGACGCTATCTGGAGGATAAATTGCTGAGTGGGATTGTTGGGTCAAAGGGTAAATACAATTAAATTTTTGTGATTCATACTTCTATCTTGCTCTGCAAAGAGCTGAGTAAAGTGACAATTGCACCAATTTGGTCTTCCTGGCCAACACACAGAATCGCCAAACTTTAATGTTCATCAACTGACTAGGTGAAAAATGGGATCTCCTGATACTCTTAAATCTGCATTCATTCCTTTTACTTTGAATGAGGCTGAGCATCTTTCCATGTGGTTGAACAGAGGCTCCACTTTAAAAGAACCATCTCGTGGGATGAGTGGTTAGCTGCACACTAGCTCCTGATGGATACACAGAACTGATCCTGGGGCTGAGATGTCCTCATTCCTGTGAGGACGTCCAGTGGCAGGTGTTTGGTTCCATGGGCCTTAAGAAATCAAGGAGAGACAAAAAAAAAAGTGTGTTGAACCACAGTCTCAAAACAGGAAGAAACCTTAGAAATCAAGTCTAATCTTGTATTTTTTTAGAGATTAAAAAAAGCTGAGGCTTAGAGAAGGGAAATGACTTGCAGAAGACCACATATCAAGTCTATTGAGAAAGAGATGAAAATCCTTGATAAGAGTTGAATTGTTTTTGTCAACTGTTGTCATCCTGTTAGATATTTTAATGAATGATTTCATCATGCTATTTCCTTTAACAACAGGGCAATTTTCAAGTTACAGTAAACAAGCCCATACAAGTGTGGGGGCTGAGGAGAATTACAAGTCTTTTTGTGAAAGACTTTGAAATGGGTCACAAAATTATTGTGTGTCTTCAGTGGACAACTAGGTGTTGTCATGCACACCCTTGGGTTATCTGGGTCTAAGGATCTTTTTGTTTGCTTTAAGCTATTTCTAACTCTATAGGATTATTATTATTTTTTTTTTTTTGGCAGCATCAGGTCTTAGCTGCAACACTAGGGACCTTTCATTGTGGTGAAGGGACTCAGTAGCTGTGGCATGTGTGGGCTTAAGTGCCTCCCAGCACACGGGATCTTAGTTCCCAGGCCAGGGATCAAACCTATGTCCCCTGCATTAAAAGGCGGATTCTTAACCACTGGACCATGAGGGAAGTTCCATTCTATAGGTTTAAAATTTATTTATTTATCTATTCATTTATTTGGCTGTACTAGGTATTAGTTGCAGCACTTGGGATCTTTAGTTGCAGTGTGTGGGATCTAGTTCCCTGACCAGGGATCAAACTTGGTCATCCTGCACTGGAAGTGCGCAGTCCCAGCCACTGGACCCAACAGGGGAGTCCCAACTCTATAGGTTCTGGAGAATAGGCAGCAAGGCAAGTGATTCTATACCAAGGCTGTTGCCCCAGAATCTTACCCTTGCCCCTCCTTCAAATGAAATCAGTGTGTTTTTTTTTCTCTTTAATTTACTTAATTTTTAAATTTTTGGCTGTAACATGTAGCATGCAGGATCTTAGTCCCTGACTAGGGGTCGAATCTGTGCTTCCTGCAGTGAAAGCTCAGAGCCCTAACTACTGGGACCACCACAGAACTCCAAAAGCAATCATTCTTATCTAAGAATATCCTGTGGACAGAGGAGTCTGGTGGGTTACAGTCCATGGGGTCGTAAAGAGTTGGACATGACTGAGCAACTGAGCACCCACAAGCACACATGTTTCAGGAGGAAGATGCAAAGAAAAAAGTAACAAGAACTGATTAGAACAAACTAGGCCAAAGACTGGGGAAGATATGGTTTCCTCTAGTAGACCTTGAGTCTCATTATCAGCTCACTCTAATATATTAGCACAAGCTAAATGACACGCTCACCAGTGCCAGGACAGTTGACAACTGCCAGGACAACAACTGAAAAAGCCCGTACAAGCACTGTAGGGAAGAGGGCAACAGTGCCAGGTCCAAACCACACCCCTGTTCTCCAGTAAGTCAGGAATATTCTTTCCACTCCTTCCAATTCCTTCCTTTTAACCTTCACCTTCTAATACATTTGGTGGCTCCACCAGAATGGGGTTGAAAGCTGATTTGCAAACTAGGTTCCCCCCTTCCATCCTTTGGCCATTGAATATAGCTTGTGTGATTCCGCTCTCAGCACCGCTTTCAGGAAAAAGACAAGACGTCTCCATGCAAGTCCAGTTGACCTGCATGGTAACAATTCTTGCCCACCGATCTCTGACATTCAAATGAAACTTGTCTGGCAGAAATTCAACTGACTTCCCCACTGTAGAAGCCAGTTTCGATTTGGTTCAATTAAACAAATTCTTTTTTTAAATTTTTTGGCCACACCGTGGGATGTGGGATCTTAGTTCCCCAACCAGGGACTGAACTCATGCCCCCTGCATTGGGAGTGTAGTCTTAACCACTGGCAGCATTCCTGACTGCCTACAGTCAGGAACCCAAAGATTTTGGGTTCATCTTTGAACCACTTGTATCATTCATCTTACCTACTTTTTCCCTCATAAATTAGTGAGTTAAATCTTTGACATGTGTTTATATTTGTATGAGAGTCATGATTTAACTTTTAAAATTTCTCAGATCTGATTGTTGTGTTTATTAACTTATTTTTAAAGATACTTTTGTGGGGAAGGATAAATTAGGAGGTTGGGATTAACATATACACACTTCTATATATAAAACAAATAACCAACAACAACATACTGTATAGGACAGGAATTATACTCAATATTTTGCAATAATCTATAAGGGGAGAGAGTCTGAAAAGGAACATATACACATATATGTATAACTCAATCACTGGGCTGTATGCCTGAAACTATATTGTAAATCAACTATACTTCAATATTTAAAAAGATATCTCTTCACGTTGTTCATAGCAAGTGTATCTTAAGCATAGCAACCACTTGCAGTCTCGACATTATCCAAAGACAATCATCCTTTCTTTCAGCCTATACAAAAAGAATTGCGCACAGATTGGAAGCCTACCTCTCTTTTCTTCCTTATTGTGGAAATAAATATGCCAGGAGATAGGAGGGCTTCCCTGATGGCTGGCTCATCGGTAAAGAATCGGCCTGCAATACAAGAGACACAAAAGACTCTGGTTCAATCCCTGGGTCAGAAAGATCCCCTGGAGGAGGAAATGGCAACCCACTCCAGTATCCTTGCCTGAAAAACCCCACTGACAGAGGATTGACAGTCCAAAGGGTCAGAGTCGGATACAACTGAGTGAATAAGCACAGGAGACTCAATGAGGGTTGACTGAATGTATGAAAGTGAAAGTCGCTTAGTCGTGTCAGACTCTTTGCGACCCCATGGACTATACAGTCCATGGAATTCTCCAGGCCAGAATACTGAAATGGATAGCCTTCCCCTTCTCCAGGGGATCTTCCCAACCCAGGTCTCCTGCATTGCAGGCGGATTCTTTACCAGCTGAGCCACAAGGAATGTATGCTGCTGCTACTGCTGCTAAGCCGCTTCAGTCGTGTCTGACTCTATGCGACCCCATAGACGGCAGCCCACCAGGCTCCCCCGTCCCTGGGATTCTCCAGGCAAGAACACTGGAGTGGGTTGCCATNGGCAAGAACCCTGGAGTGGGTTGCCATTTACTTCTCCAATGCATGAAAGTGAAAAGTGAAAGGGAAGTCGCTCAGTCGTGTCCGACTCTTAGCGACCCCAAGGACTGCAGCCTACCAGGCTCCTCCGTCCATGGGATGTTCCAGGCAAGAGTACTGGAGTGGCGTGCCATTGCCTTCTCCGACAAGGAATGTATAGCACTATATTAAAGGCACAGGCACAGTAACAAAAATCTTAAACTTTTAAAAGTTGGAATTCAATGACTAATGCACCTTTTACTTCCAAAAGCTTAGCTATATAAGCATATCTGGGAGCAAGAATGGTAAACTGTGAGAAGGTGGCTTGCAGACAATGAGATTCTATCCTTCACCCTCAATTAGTTTCTATCAATCTTACAAGTTAGTGGAAGTTAGTTACAAGTTAGTACTTAAAGAATTTAACAACACTAACTGAGCGCCTACTTCCCAGCCCTGCGGAAATTGTTCCCATTATAGGAAATACTCCCCAACCACCACACACAGACTCAAAAAAAAGCTAACCACGTTTCTACCTTCGACAAACTTAGGACTCAGCATCTGTAAAGGGGCCGCTGGGACACTGTGGTGTCCAGCCCCCCCCCGAGGCTGTTAATCGGGAATCATGCTTACAGCGGCGCTTCCCCTTCCCCCAACGCGCTTTCCGGCCCAGGCGTCCCCCTGGCGCGTCTCCACTAACCCGCGATCAGGTTTCTCATCCCCGTGCGCCGGACGCACAGCTCACACCTCTCGCGCTCTTCTCCCGCGCCGCCGCGGGCCCCTGGACACGCGGGTCCGAAAGCCTGCGGCAGCCCGTAGCCCCCATCCTTTCTCTTCCCCAGACGTCAGCTTGCACGGATCGCTTTATTTTAGAAAGCGGACCTTGAGACTATGAAGGGCCATCTTTCCCTGCGAACTTCCAGTTTTTAGGACCCGAGGTCCCAGAGTCTCAGAAGCCCCGCCCCCGCCCCCGCCGCGGCGCGGCCGGATTTGCGCAAGCGCGCGCCGCCGACCCCGGGCGGTTCACTTCCGGGAGCCGAGCCTCCGCGCTTCCCGGGCCGGCCTCCGGGTCTCGTGTCCCCCTGGGCGGCCGACCCCCTCCGACCGGCCCGGCGGGACCGAGCCGAGCCGTGGGGCCCGCCGTGGCCCGGCCATGAGCGCGGCCGCATGATGCGTCCCTGCCTCGGCCCCTGCAGTCGCCGCCGCCGCCGCCGCCGCCGATCGGGAGGAGCCGCAGCGCCGGGCGACCCCGCCCGGGCCTCGGGTGAGCTCGGCGGGCCGGGTCGGGCGGGCTGCTGGCACCCGGCTCTCCCGGCCAATCCGGGGCCCCCCGTCCGCCAGTCTCGGGCGCCTTGCTCCGTCCTGCTCCACCGTGCCCCGCCGCACCTGCGACCTTCCCGAGTGCCTCTCGGGGGCACCTCTGTGCTGGCGCTTGACTCCTTCCTCTGCCGGGTGTCTCCTCGTCCCTCCTTGCTGCACCTCTCGGGGTAGGGCCCGAATTGCAGCCCCAGCTTGTTGCCTGACCTTGGGCGTGACACTCAGCTCTCCCAGCCACAGTTCCCTCCTTTTGATAGCTAATAAGGGGGTGGTTGTTAGGGCCAGAAGACACAGTAGCTATAAACCCTCTGTAAGCTGTAAAGAGTAGTTTATTGGCTTGCATTACAATAGGCTTTCTTAAACATCGCCTATGGCTTCTCAAATGCGCCTGTTCTTCACTCCTTTATACGTTTTTAGCTTTTCCTTTTTGTTCTTTGCCAGCTCCCTCCCCTTCTCTTTCTCTGTCCAGGATCTTTTCAGGGGTTACCTACCAGGCCACCTGGGACAGCCAGGTCAGCCTTCAGGGCAGTGTTTCAATCTTGCTGCAGCCAGAATCATCTCTCCTGAGGAGTCATTGCTGCTGGAACTCTCTCTCTTCGCTGTTGGATGGAGACACTTTACTGGCTTGTGGGTAACCGGTTTTATGAGTGTAAGAACTGTCCACAGAGCTGCTTTGTAGCTTTTTTTGCTGACCAGGTCCTGTAAAATGCAGTCCAATTAATGCTACAGTGTTTAACATTTGCAGTCTGCTTAGCATTTGTACTTAATGCATATAGATTTATCTATTTTACTGCTACTGTCTCAAATCTCAGTCTAGAAAGCTAGACCCCCGTCTGCCAATCTCGGGCCCCTTGCTTGAGGGTCTGGAAATCTCGGTCAACATATATTCCTTCTTAGACTATTCACCTCAAAGACAGTGAATTGAATCTTCTGATACTTTTACAACTTTGAATTTTTTTCAAAATCAGACCTAGTTTTTTGATACTGTCTTACAACTTTTATGAAGCCAAAGGCAACTTTCAAAAGTCACCTTGTTAAATTTGCTTGTTAGTAGGTTGGGATACTTGATTAAAGAGAAAATCACTGGGGTATTTGAAAAAATGGGGTGGAACACACATGTTAAATTGCATCTCTTGAACATTCTGGTAAAAATGGAAGGATCGGAGTGATGGACACTATTTGGATTGTGTACTTTCTGGAATGAGGCTGGTAGGTTAACTTTTGAGTTGTGAGGTGGAGGAGAATGAGACTAAATGAAGGCAATTTCCTAAAGAATTCATAAAACAACAGGTGAAACTCTGCACACATCTCAAGTCAAAGTCAAATGAGTAGACATGTATACAGAGTTTGTTTTGTTTTTAAACCAGTGACTCAGAGCCTGCCTCGATTACAGTGAGTGAATTGGGAAATACTGGCATGACTAGAATGACCTCAGTGAGAGAGAAAATACTGAAAGGAACTCTGTATAAGAACTGTCTTGAGCCAGTCAAAAGCCTGGACGTGCCTTTCCACTTTTACTGAAACTGTTCCCTGCAGGCTTGGACCCTTTGATGACATAAGTAATATCGTCTTTGTTAATTTGAGGAACTGGACTGAACAGTAAGTTCTTATATGAAGTTAATGCTTGGGATGAATTGAGTACTAGTTTTCCTGATGATTCCAGACCGTCCCTGCTCCAGACCATGCTGAACAGCTCTAAGGATAGTTTTATTAAAGCAGCTTTTTGGGGGTCAGTCAGTTCAGTCACTCGGTCGTGTCCAACTCTTTGCAACCCAATGGACTGCAGCACATCGGGCTTCCCTGTCCATCACCAATTCCTGGAGCCTACTCAAACTCATGTCCATTGAGTCCGTGATGCTATCCAACCATTTCATCCTCTGTTGTCCCCTTCTCCTCCCGCCTTTAATCTTTCCCAGCATCAGTGTCTTTTGGGGGGGTATGTTTCTTTAAAGTAATGTTTTATTTAATTTTTTGGCCACACCATGAGGCTTGGTGTGAGAACTTAGTTCCCTGAGTCAGGAATTGAACCCATGCTCTAAGTGGTGAAAGCAGAGTCCTAACCACTGAACTGCCAGGGAATTCCCTAAAGTAATGGTTTAATTATAAAATTAATATATATTTGTTTTGTTTTAAAAAAAAAATCAAACACTAGAGCAGAGCATAAAATATAGAGTCCCAAGCATGTCCCCAAAGCCAGTGTCACGTTAACAACTTGTGTGTGCCCCTTCAGCTGTAGTACCCAAGAACTGAGCCACCTGCAGAGCTGGTCAGCTACAAAGGCCAGAGGGAACAGTTTACCTTGTCTGTACTTTGGTCTGCCTGTTCAGGGATGGCATTTCATCAGTCACTTGCCTCTGATTTTTTTTCTTTCTCTTTCACCCACTTCTTTGCCTCTATCTACAGACATGTTCTTGTCTCGATTACTGCTTGATTCCATTCTTGAAAAAGCACCAGTAGAATTTTATTAATTGTCTGATAAAATCCAGATTCCTCATGGGGCCAAGATAATGCCTTATATTGGTACAGCACCTCATGGTTTTGAAAACACTTTATCCTACAGTGCTCTCTGTGTCTTGGGTGCTTGGTAAATGTTTGGTGAATGAATGATCTTGCTGGGCAGAGTGGGAGTCTTCTAAGGAGGAGACAGCAGGAGCAGAAGCACGGGGCCGGGGGTGGGGGGCGGTGTGCACAGACACAGCAGGGAAACAGCGGGAAGGCTGGGCGAAGAGCCCAGAGAGGCCCGGGAGCCAGATTCAGTGGAGCCCTGAATGCCATGGCCCCAGGGCTTGGCCCCTCTATCGGTTAGATTCTGCAGAGGGACAGTGAGAGGTGAGGGAGCCTGAGCTTGGGTCGTGGGAAGGCGGGCAGGGGAAGGGCTGAGCGGTAACAAGTGTCAGCAGCTCCTAGGAGGAGGGATGGGGAGGAGGACTTGGGTCTCGAGGGGAAGGTGCATAGTAAACCCTGGGTGTGCGGGGAGCATTATCAGTTAATGGGAGGAGAGGCCGGCTCTGTTAAGCCGGCGGTTTAGGTCATTCCAGGAGAGGGCACGGGGCGTGTGCAGCCCCGGTAATTAGCAGGAGCAGTCAGGATAGAGAGGCTTCCAGCTTCTCTTGAGACAGCCTTTTACAGCGTTATCTTGGTTGAAATGCTTTTAATTCTTAGCATTCTGTATTTCCAAAACTCACTGTTACAGAATGCATTTTCTAAAACCAAGTGCTCTGGGAGGCCATGTGTTTTAATGGAAGAACATGGGCTTTGGAGTCAAAACTCCGAAGTTTTTTTTTTCTTAAACAGACCCCCACCTGACTGACAAGCTGTGGCTGTGGTACGGGGATAAAGGTGGGGGCTTTGGTGTTTTGTCCTTGTGGCTTCGAGGCTGCTCCGTGCAGCCTGTGCACTCCTGGGGACACACCCAGAATAAACCCTGCTACTGGGGGTCTCTTCCCCCCGGCCCTGGTCCTAACCTGTCCACATTACCCCACCCCAGGCTCCCACTTCTGACTCTTTTCCTTAGTCCTTTCGTGTTCCTGTGGGCTTCATTTTTGCTTTTTCTTCTCTCACTCAACAGGTATTTGCAGAGTTCAGGGTGTGCCGGGGAGAAGAGTAGAACATTCCATTGAGGTGATGTCAGTGGAAGGAGACAGTGGGGGTGGGAGGGAGGTGAGGGGGAGGTCCACAGGCCCCGCATGGGGAGGCTGGGGGTTTTGTTCTAACTGTAGAGGCAGCCACTGGCTGGATTTGATAAACCCAGGAGTGGCAGGGTCTGACTTCTATCTGTTAAAACTGGCTCCAGATGCTGACTGGGGAATGGGTTAGGAGCCAGAGAGTAGGCTGGGGGTTGCGCAGAGGCTGCGAGTGTATAACAGTGCTGGTTCATGCAGCCTAGGTGAGGGCTCCTGAGCCTTCATCAGGCGAGGCAGGCTGGTGGAGGGTGGCGCACATCTAGGCAGGTTTTGAAAGTCAAGCTCAGACCTGCTCATGGGTGAAGTGTGGAGGGCTGGGGGAGAAAAGTGACGTGAAGGGTGTGTCCTGATTTTTGACTTTGGCAACTAGGTGGGGGTGCAGGTGCCGTTTATCAAGATGACAAGGTGGGATCCCAGCAGTTTGGTGGGTGGAGAGGTTTCTGCTTTGACCTGACTGTGGTCTTGTTGAGTAACCGGTCAGAGACACTCAACAGCACATTCTTCATTTGGGGGTTTCCCACATGCATCTTCTCTAACTTCATGGAACTGAGCTCTTGGAGATCAGCTGGAGAGCACACAGCCAACGAGGAAAACCCAAGACCCCGTCTGAGCACCCCAACACTGAGGTGCCTGTGGAGAGAGGGGCCTGCCAGGAGTCTGGGAGTGGCTGGCAGGGAAGGGGAAGAAGCCCACATCGCCCCCACCTCCACCGAGAGCCTTGGCTCCTTCTGTGTTTCTGCTTGTCCTCTTTTGTTTTAGTATGAAGGACCTTTCGAGAGAGGTTGCATAAGTTTACTGTTCACAGAATGGCCGATGTGCCAGCGTACCACTGAGACTTGGCTTCGGTCCGTTGTTTTTTTTCCCTCAAAGGTTTATATTCCGTTCTTCCGCTTCAGTAATTTGAGAAGAAAATAGTGGTTCATATGGCATACATTATTGCTCTGGTTTCAAAGCCCGAACTAAATCTTTCATGATTGCAAATGGATGGAAAGAACATTTAAGAACGTAGTTGCAGTTGCAGTGAATGCACTGGGATAGGTGATCTGCACGCTCCCCTCCTTCAGGGAGGAGCCTGTGTCCCTGTTGTCTCCCCGCCTCACCCAGGCCTGTGCTGGCTCACTCACACCGGGCTGCAGCCATGCTGCCCTTCTCCTAAGCCTCCCCTGCTAAGAGCAGCCCGTTGGCGGGGCCACGTGTGACATCTTCCCGTTATCCCCGGTGACGGCACCTCCTTGGAGTTCTTAAAATTCTCCCTGGAAGCTTATTTTTTGGTCATAATTATTGCTCTTACATCATAGTAAGTTGAGAAAATAACAGGAAATCCAGAGAATGAACTTTAGACCAAATGACGGAAAATGTACCAGGGTGGATCATTAAAGGATAAATCACACACACAGGTGCCCCTGGTGACCCAGCCTCAGGCCCACCTGGCTCCCGAGCCCGCCCGCCAGGCCTGTGTGTGCCGACCACTCCAGCTGCCGTGCGCCTGCCCCCGTCTGCTCCCTCCTGGCCCTGCTCTGGGTCGTGGCAGTCCCTCCTGGTTGCCTGCCTTCCTCCTTCCATCCCAGTCGTACTTGGTTAGTGATGGCTCTAAAACATCTGTTTACCAAAGCCCCAGTGTCTCCCTCTGCAGCAGAACGAAGTGCGGAATTCCAGATGTCCTAGCTTGGCCTCTGGGTGCTTCCTGGGCGGCCCCGGCCTCCTTCCCTGCCTCCCTTACGCTGGGGGCGGGGTGGGAGGTGCTGCAGCCCGTGGGTTCCCTCTCCTTCCTCCGTGCCTCTTGCACCGTTGCCTTCCTAGTGGTCACCGTTCTGTTCTCTGGACAGGATGAGCTGTTGTCGGCTCTCTCCGTCACCCTCTGCCGTCACTGGGGGAAACACCGAGACACCACCCTGCAGGCAGGTTCCCATCTCTGGTGTGTGAGCGCTCGTGGGCCGGGGGCCTGTCTGCGGTTGAGCATCCTGCGGGCCTCGCGTGGTGTCTGGAGCTTGGGGGCCCGCCCCCACGTCTGAATGCAGCAGATCTCAGGGCGCTGCGTCTATTTCTCACGCCGCCTCTGTGCCCGAGGCAGAGATTTGCTTACTGCTTTTTTTTATAGGTCAGCAGTGGGTGTCTGAAGAGTAGAACAATGCTGAGTGTAAAAGCAGCGCGTTAATGTAAACATGAACACCAGACTCTAGGGTAGGCATTCCTGTTACTGCAATAGCAACTGATCCCTGAAGAATACTGATGTCTTTTGTTTACTTGTTTTCCGTTTGTTTATGAGATGCATTTTCTGTCTATAGGCATGAAGAGAAAACACTGGGGGAGGAGATTAATAAGACACTTGCGCACAGATACTGTCAAGGGTCGATTGAGACAGGGCCTGGCTCAGAGGCAGAGTCCGCGGGGAGAGCACCTAGAACGTGGCTGTTACCGCCCCCTTCACACCTGCGCACGCACCTGTGCAGGTGGTTTTTTCTCTTCAGTTTTTAGTTGAGGTATAATTTATGTAAAATGAAACGGACAATTTTAAGTGTGTAATTTTTTGTTTTATTTTAAAATATGTATTCGGCATGCTGAGTTTGCTGCAGCATGTGGGATCTGGTTCTCTGACCAGGGACTGAACCCGGGCCCCTATCTTAGGGCTGCGTCCTAGCCCCTGGACCAGCAGGGAAGCCCCCTAACTGTCCTCTAACAGTTTGCTGAGTTTTGTCCTGACAGTGTGTGTGTGTCTATAGCCTGCTGCCCTGGCCACGTAGGGGACTTTGCATCAAATCAGAAAGCTGCCTTGGGGTCCCTGTCCTTCCCTCTTGTGGTCCAACCCCATCCTGAGTTCTTTCAAAGTACATTAGCTTTGCTTGGTTAGAGGGCCATGGAGATTGACTCCTACTGAATACATTCTTCTGTGTCTGGTTTCTTTCACTTAGCCACACTGTTGCATGTATCTAAACCGCCCCCCCATTTTTTAGTATGAGTTGTATGAATAACCATGGTGTGTTTGTTCATCCCCTGGGGAGGGATGTTTGGGCGTTCTGGTTTGGTGGATGTGATGAACGGAGCAGCAGTGACCAGCTGTGTGCATGTTCTGTGTTCACACTCACGCGTGTGTGCTCACTCACTCAGTCGTGTCCAGCTCTGCAAACCCAGGGACTGTGGCCCACCAGGCTCCTCTCTCTGTGGCATTTCCCAGGCAAGAATGCTGGAGTGGGTTGCCATGTTCTTCTCCAGGGGATGGTCCTGACCCAGGAATCAAACCCGCATCTCCTGCATTGGCAGGCGGATTCTTTACCAGTTAGCCACCTGGGAAGCCTGGGTCACATTCACCTTGAGGTAAATACCTAGAAGTGGAATTTCCAAGTCACAGGGCGGGTGTTTGGTTTAACTTGGAGAAAGTGCCAGACCACTTTCCAAAGTGGTTGCTGTGTTGGTTACTTTTTAAAATTTATGAAAGTAACTGGGGATTTGGCCTCACTGTAGAGATTCTGCTTAGGCCCGAGGCCTGGGATGCATTGACCTGTGTTTTGCAGAGTCAGTTTTCTTTTAAAACACTGCTAACATAAGCTCATTTGAAGATATTCAGAATGAATGTGAATGAAAAGTGGAAAATATTACTAAGCATAATTAGGCATTACTGGTTCAGCACGTTATTCAGCATTTAAAGTTGTTGGCTACTGCATAGATATTTGAATAAAGTTACTCTATGTAAATGCCATATTTTAAAAGTCAGCTCTGGGCTTCCCTGGTGACTGAGTGGTTGAAGAATCCGCCTGCCAATGCAGGAGACATGGGTTCGATCCCTATCTGGGAAGATCCCTCATGCCATGGAGCAGCTAAGCCCGAGCACCACCACTCCTGAGCCTGTGCTGGGAGCCGCAGCTGCTGAGGCCCACATGCTGAGAGCCCGTGTCCCGCGAGAAGAGAAGCCGCGGCAATGAGAACCCCACGCACCCCAACTAGAGAGCCCCCTGCTCTCTGCAGCTGGAGGAGAGCCTGCAGAGCAACGAAGACCCAGTCAGCGAAAATAAATACATCAAGTTATAAATACACACAGTTATCAGAAAGAAGGTCACCTACTGCAGTTTAAGCAGCTTGTGGTTCATGGCCGCATGTGTTACTAAGAGTTCCGAAGGCACTCAGAGTCACAGGGACACCAGAGAGCTTTGGTGTGCGGGCCAGCGCTGGCTGTGGGCAGGAGGTTGTCCAGCTCAGCGTGGAGGCGGGCAGGGGAGCCTGACCCCAGAGCCAGCACGGCGGAAGGGGGCGCACGTGGCCAGGATGCGGCGAGCAGCCCCCGGTTCCTGGGGGACCCAGAGCCCGTGCCCTGGAGGAGACCAGGGAAGCTTAGCCTACCTGCTCCCCAGTCCCACCAGTGCCCTGGCGCCTCACCGTCCTTCACGCCAGCCCTCTGGTGTCTTAAGTTAGGGGTCTTGGTTTGAGAAAACAGACACCAGCCGAGGGTTTGCCCAGCAGAGCAGTGTCACACTGTAGGACACGGGGTGCAAATGGAGCGGGCTGGCCTTCAGGCGCTGCGGCTGGGGCCTGGGGCAGCAGTGGAACCGTGCCAGGAAGGACGTCTCGGCTGGGGGCTGCCTTTGCCAGACATCCCATTGTTTGGAAGTTGGTCCTCTGATTCCTTCTCTCCTATGGTCTTTCTGACTGTTTTTCAGTTTGTTTTTTAGTTGATTTACAATTCTGTGTCAGTTTCAGTGTACAGCAGAGTGATTCCATTATATATATATATGTACACACACACATATGCACACGCATGTGTGTGTGTGTGTGTGTGTGTGTATGTATTCTTTTCCACATTCTTTGCCATTATCATTCTTACAAGGTGTCAAACGCAGTTCCCTGTGCTATAGAGCAGGTCCTTGTTGCTTATCTAGTTTCTATACAGTAGCATGTATCTGTTAATCTCAAACTCCTATTTCCCCTGCCTCTTTTTTGTTTAATTCTCCTTTCTGGGAGGCTTTCCACTCTCTCTTCCAATCCTGTTTTTAAGATTTTAAAATTCTATCATTATTTTTCAATAAGTAGGAAGTTCTCAGAATGTTCCTCTTTGTCTCACAAATGCAGTCTCTTATTTCTTCGGTTTTCTTCCCTGTGCATTATACCTGCTCTCAACTCCTGTTTCCCTCTGGCTTCTTTCTGGGGCTCTGTCTCTCATGAGACCTGGTTGGAGCTTTCTCCAAAATATCTGACTCTTGGCTGTTCGCTGACATTTAAGCATGAGATCTGCCAGGCACGTGGAGGGGGCCGTGTCTGTGGTCAGCTGGCCTCTGGCGGCCCTGCTCTTGGGGAAGCCTGGCGGCACTCTGCCCTCTCTGGGGGATACCCCCACCTCGTGTCAGTCGGCCTTTCTTCCTGGGCCAGATGAGTGCTTCCAGGAAGGCTGTGTCTGCTCGCCCACCTGCCAGTGAGCCCAGTGAGCCCTGGCCGCTCGTCCCCGTCCCACCTGCTCACTCGTGCCCCCCTCCCAGGGCCCTTCCTCCGGGGGCCCTGGCGCACCTCTCACCTCTCACTCCCATCGTTTGCTGCAGTTCCTCGGCTGTGGCTGGGGAAACAGTTACCTGTTGAAATGCAGCCTGACTAGATTTGGTCTGGGTTATCCCCAGGCCTCTTTCTCGAAGGATTTTGGCTTACAGGTTTTATTTAAAACCGGGGCTAATGTAACAGGGGGGGTAAAATGGACAGGTTTAAAATTTTCAGGATTCTGAGTCAATTTACTAGCAAGGAAAACCTACAGGAGTCATGATTTCACAAAGATAGTTCTGAATGCCAGAACAAGTAACTTTTCTAATTAGATTTTATTATCTTCCAGATCCTATCACATAGGACAGTATGCACCTTAAGATCCTCAAGAAAAGGCACAAAATATTCAAGTGATGTCTAGTGATAACTTGTGAGGTAAGTGTTTCCCTGGGTATATAATCACTGTTTCCTCTCTAACTGCTCGCACTAACTTGCACCCGTTGATGGTTGAGAGTCCCCTCCTGTCTTTGGTTTGCTGCCCACCTACCCTAAAAGCATAGTGAGTCTCTGGAGCAAGACCCCGATTATCAGCAGGAGTCACAAAATGAGGGTAGTTTCTCCAGTCTGCATCACTGCAAAGGTTTTGCTTGAATGGCTGTCCCTTAAACAATGGAGATCTGCAGCATTGCTCCTGGTGTTCTGGGAAGTGAGGCTTGCTTTAACACGAGGAGAAACAGGTTCAGGGGTGTAGACAAAATCCCATTAAACTAGCCATGAAAGTAGAAAACCGATGATGCGATATCTGCTTGGCCTTCAGTCAACACACTATGCTTTCAGGTTTCTCTCGGGAAACCGAAGTCCAGAGCATTCCTTTCGAAGGTGGTGCTGCTGCAGAGTGAGGCTGCGCCCTCGACCTGGGGTCGCATCGCCCGTTGCTGTGCTCTCGTGTTCCCAGTGTCTGTAGCTGAGTTGAGCCTGAGGGAACAGTTTCTGCACTTCCTCCCCTCCCTTCCTGTTAAACTGACACGGCGTAGGTGCTGTGACTCAGCGGAAGGCACCTGCGCTCTGTCACAGAGAGCCCAGTGTGCGCAGCCCAGCCTCCCCGAGTTCATGGACTGCTTTCTTGAACATCTTGGGAAGTAACTGTGGGGTATGAGACTGTCTTCCCTCTGCCTCCGGGTCGGTGTTACACGTCTGGCTCTGAGGGACACAGCGGGACCCTATCGTGCCTCTGGGGCGGTCCCCACCCAGGTTGGTGTGTGTGCGATCACTCTTCCTCGCAGTCAGAGCTGCCATCTGTGCCCCTATTTCTGGACCAGACAACCGTGCTCTGATGAAAGGCTCTTCCATCTCCGGACACATGGCTCTGCTCCCTGTCCAGCACCCGGGTGCCACTTCTCAGCCTGCTGCCTACCTGAGGAGTAGCTATGCAGCAGTGGGATTCTGGCCAGAGGATTTTCTCAGCCTCGGTGGACGTGTATGACCCACTAGGAAGCTTGTGTGGCGATCACCAGGCCACTCGCCAGATCTGAGAGAGGGACCAACTTCACGCTGTTGCATCTGGTTGTAAATGAGATGAGAGGAGTTATAGGGGTAAAGAGACAGCAGGATGTTTATGAGGAAAAATGCATGTCTGACCCTACATGTTCTTGCCTGTCAGGTAATTTCCCAGGAAATGCGGGAGAGTTGTCAAAAGAACAGACCAGTGAGTGAGGGAAACTGTCAAAAGAATGAGGGAGGAAGGGCATTCTAGGAACAACATAAAGAAGATGGAGATTAAAATGGGAGCCTGCCTCAAAAACATGCTCACCCATCGTCAGAGTTAGAACTTGGGGGAAGGGAGAGCACACGCAGGGTGAGATGGAGACCCGTTGGGTGAGAACCCTGAGCTCCGCGTCCGGGGGCCAGCGTGGACATGAGCAGCAGGAGTCACCTGCCCACTAGGCTTGGTCCCCTTGGGCTTGGAGCCTGGGCCCCGCAGTGTGCGTCTGGCCGTCGTCCTGCTGAGGCGTGCCCCCTCCCGCCTTCCCGCAGGGAACCATGCCATCCTCAGGGCACCGGCTGCGGGATGTCGAGCACCACCCTTTGCTGAGCGAGAATGACAGCTATGACTCCGCGGCCTCCTCTCCCGCCGAGGCTGACGCGGCCGACAGGGTGTGGTTCATCCGCGACGGCTGCGGCATGATCTGCGCCGTGCTGACCTGGCTGCTGGTCGTGTACGCGGACTTCGTGGTCACGTTCGTCATGCTGCTGCCCTCCAAGGACTTCTGGTACTCCGTGGTCAACGGGGTGGTCTTCAACTGCCTGGCAGTGCTCGCCCTGTCGTCTCACCTGCGGACCATGCTCACCGACCCTGTGAGTGCCCGCCCTCGCAGGGCTTTCCTGCCAGGTCTGGGCTGGGGAGACACCAGCGGCTGTGGCCGGAAGGTCTCACACTCCTGTGGCCTTGGGGATCAAGTTCCTGGGCACAGGCTGGCGACCTGGTCCGCAGCGTCCCCGCCTTGGGCTGCACATCTGTCCTCTGAGCACGGAGGAGCACTCTTGGGTGGGTGGGTGGGTGGGGGTCACGTGCCTTACTGTGGAGCAGCGAGTGTGTGTCCATGAGAACGAAGGGGTGGCACTCCTAAACCTGGTCCCTTTCTTCTTACGTAACCTGTGACCCTCCCCCACATCACTTCCTTCCGGCGATAGGGCAGCCTGCCCGGCTCCTGCAGGCCTTGGAGCCCAGTGGTCCTCGGTCTTCACACGCGCCTGCTGGGCTTTGCAGACGTGGTATCAGCCTGGCCACGCAGAGCTGGGCTCGGCTCCTCCGTCCCCGGCAGCGGGCACTGTCTTTACTCCTGCTGATAGCGGTGCCCTGCCATCTCTGCCCTGCCCTTGATGTCCCCACACGCCTGCTCTCTCCTCCCTAGTGGGGCTCCTTCTCCAGAAACACGTATTTCTGTGTGAAGGACAAGCCCCATGGGGCACAGAAACGAGACCCAGGCCTTGCTCCCAGTCCACACGGCCATGGTGTCCAGAATGATCTTCCAGACATGATTTTCACTGCCTGTGTCCACCGCCCAGAGAGCAAGCCCTCCGCTCTGCAGCCTGTGGCCCATGGCCACCCAGCACACGGGTTCCCCGGCCCTCTGCAACTCCCCAGCGCTGCGGGCTTGTGTGGACACCCTTTGAGAGCCTGGTAGCTACTCCCACCCCTGGGGCCGGACACCTGGGGGTCAGGGGCCCAGGGCCACAGTCCCCAGGCTGTGATAGGTATGCAGGGAAGCATTATGTAACTTTAAAACACGAGATAAAGTCCTTTTTCCGACTGTTTTGTTCAGCCACCCCCTGCTGCATCTGATAGGAAACCTGTGGGTGTGCTTATCAGGGACACCCTGCCCAGAGCCCAGGGTGGAGGGAGAGTGGCTGAGCAAACACAGCCAGCCTCTGGCGTGTCCTGCATGAAGTTGGAAAAATCCAGGTGACTCACCAAATCATGAAGGATAATGTGCTACTTTAGTTCATTTTATAGCTCAGTTTTTCATGAAAACAAAACTTCTGGTCCTATGTTACATAATAGCTGTTTTTCACATTGATATAAGTGGCAAGGACAGCATTGTAAATGCTAAGACTAATTCCTAAATTTACTGGGTTCTTTTCTTCCTTAAAACTTCATTCCTCCCAGCTAAAATACATTGTTATTAAACCATAGGGGGCAGTACCCAAAGGAAACGCTACTAAAGAGTACATGGAGAGCCTGCAGCTGAAGCCCGGAGAAGTGATCTACAAGTGCCCCAAGTGCTGCTGCATCAAGCCTGAGCGCGCCCACCACTGCAGGCACGGCGGCTCTGCCCCAGGGGGACCGCGGGCCCTGGGCCGGGGTGGGGGGGGGGTGCCCTGAGCGCGCCCACCACTGCAGGCATGGCAGCTCTGCCCCAGGGGGACCGCGGGCCCTGGGCCGGGGTGGGGGGGTGCCCTGAGCGCGCCCACCACTGCAGGCACGGCAGCTCTGCCCCAGGGGGACCGCGGGCCCTGGGCCGGGGTGGGGGGGGGGTGCCCTGAGCGCGCCCACCACTGCAGGCACGGCGGCTCTGCCCCAAGGGTACCAGGGGCCCCGGACCGGGGTGGGGGGGGGGTGCTGAGCACCCACCACTGACAGCAGGGTATCCATTTCCAGGCAGTCTTAATACCCACCACTGGAGGGACCCCCCATCCTTAGGGCAGCCTGAGCAACACCCCCCCCCCACCCCCCACCGCTGGGACCACTTCGAAAGGACATCCTGAGCACCCACCTTCCCTGGGGCAGGATCCCCCGGGGCGGCCTCTTAGCAGAGCTGTTTTCAGTGGGTGGTGTTTCTTCAGAGCACAAAATTAGTGAAAATCTAACTTCTCCTCAGCATTTGCAAAAGATGCATTCGGAAAATGGACCATCACTGCCCATGGGTGAACAACTGTGTCGGAGAGAAGAATCAGAGATTTTTTGTGCTCTTCACTGTGAGTAAAGATACTATTCATGTAGTGATTTGTGTTGAGTCTTAATTCTTTATCTACAGTCTTACCTGAAATGAGTGTACGTTTATTCTGACATCAGACCTGCAGTCCCTTCTCTGGGGTTCAGATTACAACTGTGCTGTCGCTGGTGGGGAGTCGCCCAGCAGATGAGTGTGTGTTGCCTGTGTTGCTCCAAGTGTCCACTGTGATTTAACTCTCTCCTGGATACCTTGTTCAGTTGTCACTAAAACGTGTTTTCCCCGTGGTGTATTAGTCTGCGCTATTACTATCCTTGGTCCCGAGTGACCGCGAGGAGGCATGTCCCCTGCTCCCTCACTGCTACTGCCCACCTCCCACACCCTCACTGAGTCCGAGGTGTAGCAGTGGACGCACGGGTCCTCACCCTCAGGTCCTGGCACCATGCTGACTAGTGTCTCCCTGCAGATGTACATCGCTCTGGCATCCGTGCACGCGCTGGTCCTCTGTGGGCTGCAGTTCATCGCCTGTGTCCGAGGACAGTGGACAGGTAGGCCTGGGGGGCGGCTCCTCTTGCTCGTGCCGAGGTGGGGAGAGAGGGAGGAAGAGGCCTCCAGTTTCAGAAGAAATCCTCGCGGTTGTCTTAGGAATTAACAGAGCATTTTAAGAGGAGAATGTGGGAAAGTTCTCACACTGCCGTTTACCTGGCACGATGACACCATATATATATGTGTGTGTGTGTGTGTGTGTACACACACACACACACACACACTCGGTCTTCCTTAGTCAGCTGATAGTTTCTGCTGAGTTCCATTTGTATCCTGCAGACCTTTGAGACTGGGTGGAAATTCGTATGATCCCCGCAGGCCTGGCGTGTGCTCTGGCCAGTGGCCAGGCATCATTGAGGGCCGTCGGATGAGGCAGGACAAGCCGTGCGGCATGGACTCGTGTGTGTGCCCTGCTCACAAGTGTAGGCACAGGCAACTCCCATCTTTTCTGGCTTTAGTTGTGTTTTAATACACAGTTCAGTACACGAATACAGTCTCAACAGAAACCTGGGGAAATACTGGGTATTTGAGATCTGCCGACCAGGCCGTGGTGGTGTGAATACTGGCCTGGTAGGGCCACCCTCTGCCCCGGGTGGACAGCAGGTGTGCCCGTGAATGAAACGAGCTCGCTTCTCTGTGGACAGTGGCGCAGAGGGGGCCCTTCCACAAGCTGGACCCCCGCACCTGCGGCTCAGGACGCTGGGGGTGCTCCAACGTGCCTCACAGCCAGCCCCCTCTCGTTCGCAGAGTGCAGTGACTTCTCCCCTCCGGTCACTGTCATCCTGTTAATCTTCCTGTGCCTTGAGGGTCTGCTGTTTTTCACTTTCACCGCGGTGATGTTCGGCACCCAGATCCACTCCATATGCAATGACGAGACGGTACGCCCCTCCTCTGCTGGGTGTGCGTGGCCTCAGTGCACCGGAGTGGGTGGGCAGTGGACACAAGGGCCTGGTGTTCCCCAGGAGGTGGGTGGAGTAGCCCCTGGACCATGACAGCTTCACTGCCTGTGTCCCTCTCCCCGGGCACAGCTCAGGGCTCAAGGGTCCCTTTGATTTGAAAGTCAACAGAGCCAGGCAGGTGGAGCCAGCAAATGCCCCGTTTCTCAGAGACCCCGCCCTCGGCAGCTGAGTGAGTCGCAGGGACTGGATCACATTCATGCCTTTCAGCTGAAGGCCTCTAGCAGGCACTTGATTCTTAAATTTATAAGACCCAGAAAGATCAGTGCCTGGCCCAGAGGACCGGCTCCCCTCGCACCCCAGGCTGCCTGAGCTTTGCACCACCGGGAGGCCCCTGCCCAGCTCTGTCTGATGCGGTCTGGCCCAGTGGCTACAGCCCGGCTGTGAGCACAGGGGCCCGCAGGGCTGGCACCAGGACGTGTGGTTCGGGTGGTGGCCCCGCTCACCTGCCTTCCTGCTCAGTACCTGCCCAGGGTTTTCCCGCTGCTGCCGCCCACTTGCTTTTCTTTCTCTCCCAGGAGATCGAGAGGCTGAAGAGTGAGAAGCCGACGTGGGAGCGGCGGCTGCGGTGGGAAGGGATGAAGTCCGTCTTTGGAGGCCCCCCCTCGCTGCTCTGGATGAACCCCTTCGTCGGCTTCAGATTCAGGCGATTGCAGACGAGACCCAGGAAAGGGGCCCCAGAGTTCTCAGTGTGAGGCCCTCTCGTCACTCCAGAACTTGTCCATGGACTTAAATTATCTGGGGTTGGAAAAGGTATCAACAGCTCCTCTGTGACCCCAAGGGTGAGTGGATCAGGGGCCCGCAGTGAGCAGGGCTTCACATGTTCATGGTCACAGACGGCAGGGTTCCCCCACGAGTGACGTCACTGTCCAGTAATGAAGGGATGTGGCCGCACGGAGAAGCCAGATGTCATTCCCTCCCTGCACAGTCAGGAGTCTGTTAACACGCTCAGCGTTTTGTAGGAAGCTGTGTGGGCTGTTACATGGGTTGTTAGAATCCTATGTGCCGAGCTGCTTTCCTCAATCATGAAGAAAACCAGTCCAGTGGACAGGAACGCCACGGTCGGTGGCCCTGGGACTCTTCAGGCCCCCTCAGTCCAGGAGGGGTCTGGACACAGGAGCCCGTGGGGGCTACGGGAGCAGCAGGGCTGTACGTTGCTCCTGGCCTGGGGCCAGTGGGCCCTGACCCCATGAGCAAGTCCTCGCGTGTCAGTGTGTGTGCGTGCACGTGTGTTTTAAAGTGGGCCATGTTGTTCAGGCAACGTGTCATGGGGGTGTGCTGCAAACAAGCTATTTTTTAGAAACCAATGTTTCAGGGAAGAGGGGCAAGCTGTGCGGGGTCCCCTCCCATGGGGTTTACATGAATGTATTGCATACTGGAGAGTATCGAGATCCAAAGAACAGTCACTCCTGTGTGGTCCTCTGTTGCCCTCCCTCCTGTTTTCAGTTTATTTGAACAATCTGGAGTGCCTGACAGGGCTTTGGAACCGCAATGTGGTTCCGGCCAGAGCAGCGTGAACCGGCCCCTCTGTGGCCCCGGGCTTGCACGGCTGACCCTGCAGGAGGCAGGTGAGGCCCTGAGAAGGGGAAGGGACCTGGAGGCAGGAGCCCTGTGGACCTGGTTTGCAGACAGTATTCAGGATGGCAACAACTGGTTTGATTTTTTAAATTCTTACTTTTTTGGGGTATCATTTTGTTTGTTTCTCTACCTACATCACAAGTGATAAAATAGGACCCTTGGTGCAGAGTTTAAAGTTATGCCAGAAAGCAAACAGCTCCCCGCCCTGGGGATTCGCCTTAAACTTGCCTGGTCTGTCCATGTTTTACGGGATTCCACCATCTCTGACACAGTCTGGGGTCCCGAGCCCCGTTCCACGCTGAGAAGAGTGGGCATCTCCTGCCTGGTCTCCACGCCTCTCTGCTCACCCATGAGCCATTTTGCTTTTGTTTGAATTAACCCATCCTCTATCCTGACTGGGGCTTCACCATTCCTGATCCAGGCTGACAGCAGATGTAGCCAAGGGAAACAGGCTGCAGGGCAGAGGTGAGGGGGCTCAGTCACTGCAGAAAAGGGGGTGGGGGTGGGGTGAGTCACAGCCGAGGACAAACAGGAGACAGGAGTTCCCGAGGTTGTTCTGCACACTCATTTGCACATCCGTCACTGGGGTTGGATGTGTGTACTGAGCTTCAGTGTGAGGCTTTTAATATGTATATCCTGGTTATCAATAAAAATTATCGAAGTGGTTGAATCCTGTGAGACTTGGCAAATATGTGCAAATCAAGTATACTTGACTTTTCAACCTCTTCTTTCAATGTAACTTTTGTAAGAAATAAAGTCACCAACTGACATTGTCCAGCAGTTTGTCCAGTGGCTGGTTCTTAGGGGGTTGTGGGCGTGTCTCCGTGCTCAGCTTTGCCTCGGCTCATGGACGCCGCACCCGGGCCGCAGTGTCCAGGGCCCCTACAGCGCCTGAGACGCGTGATTCAGCACCAAGGTCATGCTCACACAGGTCGCCTTTTCTACATTTTTCATTTTACTCTCAGTTGATGCACCTCGTCTCACTTAGCTATGCACCAAAGCTTCCTTAATTTTTTAGTGTACTTGGAAATAAAAAGTTTTAAAAATCCCTTAAGTGCTTGCTGGGATTCACCAGTGAAGCCATCTCTTCCTGGACTTTTATATTGGGAGGTTTTTGATCACTGACTCCACCTCCACATTAGTTATAGCTCTGTGTAGACTTGATAAAACTAGAAATGAAAGACTATACATTATAACCGATGCCAGAGGAAGATCACAAGAGAGCACTGTGAGCAACTATGGCCAGCAAGCTGCATGACTAGAAGAGGGGGATCGATTCCCAGGATCATAAACATACTAAGTCACGAAGAAACAGCATCCACTAGAAGACGCCAGCCGAGGTGGGTGCCACGGTGTGTTTGGGAAAGCGTGGCCAGTCATCACTCTGGTCATCACTGCTCTGGGGAATGCAGAGGCAAGTGCCAGCAGCACATACTTTGTTTTGAGGAATTTGTGGGGGCAATGTGAGACCTCAAATCGCTAAAGCAGCAACGTTCAAACGAAACGTCTGAGGGTTAACTTTGCTTCCAGTGCATCTCCCTGCGCTGTCCTCCGTGAGGATGCCATGTGGAGCACGTCAGGAAAGGAGAGCGCTCCTTCAGAGTCGCCGCCTGGCCGCTGCCGGGCTCTGCTGAGGCCCGCGCAGGCCTGCCGTCTCGGAACAGCTCTGCTAGTTCCCTACCCCATCCAGCCCAAAGAAGGGGTCGCCCTGCTCTGAGGCCAGTGGCGTGTCTGTCTGAAGGCCTGGAGACATCTTCGGATCACCAGGTGCTGCTGGGCCCACTCTGAAGGGGACGTGGTCCTCCGGGTGCAGAAGCTCTGACTTACTTGCAACACAGGCGCAGCAGCCCTGAAGTCCTCTCCCCGACAGGCCCGGCATGGGACAGCCAAGCTCCATACGCAGTCTAGCCACAGGTCCACCTGGGCACCAGGAAACTCAGACTCGGGCAGCAACCAGTCCTCCAACACACCAGCACCATCCTCAGGCTGGGAGAACTTGCTTGAGTTTCAAGAAAAGCTCCAAGTACGTAGATAAATATGGTGATGATCGCCAAGATCTGATTTTGACATTTTCAGTTTCCAAAGTGCCTTCCTCTGTGGCCGGATCACATGTTCCCTATGAACTTCCAGGCTGATAACAGTGCACCCATTTTATAGACCAACAGACTTTCATCGAGGTTCTCAGAGGGAGGAAGAAAGGAGTGAGTCCACATAGACGTTTAGAATAAAAGCACTTTTTTCTAACCTAGATCCGTCTCTGTTTTTACTTTTTAAAATACTGAGTTCAGGGACTTTCCAGGGGCTGAGACTCCGTGCTCCCAATGTTCAATCCCTGGTCAGGGAATTAGATCCCATAAGCCATATCCACAACTAAAGATTTCCATGGGCCATGGCTAAGACCCAGCGCAGTCAAATACATACAGGTATTTTTAAAATTTTAAAAAGCACTGAGTTTAAAAACAGTAATAGTAATAACGTCTTGAATAACAAGGAACTGAAAACAACAAATTAAACCTTCACTGATCCCAGGTAGCACAGGGCTGGGAACCATGCTGAAAGCAAAGGAGAAATGGGTCAGTCCTCAGCCTGGCGTCAGCATCGCGTCCACCAGAGGGCGCCATGGGACAGCAAATGCACCCACACTGCACGCTGCTGAGGCCACAGAAAAATTCTGCACCATTATCTCATCCAGCCAGCCAGTCCACAAATATTTACTGAATACCTACTATGTGCCGGCAAGGCCTCTGCCCTCAGTAGACAAGCACAAGAAACAATGTGGAGCGGCTTCAAGGTGAGGATCTGCGGCGCGCAGGGGGCGTGAGAGCCTCCAGCACCAGCAGCGCCTGGGGGGCGGGGGTGGTGTGGGCGGTGACCCGGCCGCGGGGAGCGGGAGGGGTGCGTGTGAGCGGGGAGCGTGTGAGCGGCAAGCCGCACAGGCACCGCAGGGGGCGTGAGCGCGCAAACGGGCCCAGTCAGTGGGAAAGGCGCGCAGGGGCCCCGGGGCCCTGTGAGCCGGGAGGGCGGCGGTCGTCCTCTGGCCTGAGGGGCGGGCAGCTGGCCAGTCAAACCCAGGCCCCCTCCACATGGGGCCGGCGGGGCGCCTGGAGAAAGCTGCGAGGCGCCAGCGGTGAGCTTGGCCAGTGCGTGGGTCCCGCCGCCACTGGGCTCCTAATTGTTTTTAATTTGAGGATAATGACAATATCCTGATTTTTCCACCCTGCACTTTGGGTTCTGAAGTGACATTTATCTAAAAATTGCTGCATTATTCCAGAGTATCTCTGAGAGACTTCCACAGAAGTATGTGGATCGTTTATCTGGAGCTGCTGGTCAAAGAGGAAAAAAGCCATTAAGTGGACAAGTAGAAGATTTGTCAGCAGAACTAGACTTAGAAATGACATGAGAGGAAGAACACGAAAAATCTGATGGAGATGAAAATAACCATTCACAGGTCAAAGCACAGATTAATGACGTGAGCTACCTGAATGACTTAACTCAGTCATCTGAAAGTGCTTCCCAGGATGGCGATGTCTTTAGGAATTCCACGTTGCAAGTAGAACCACTGGGCTTGAGGTATAAGACTGTGTTAGCTTACTGAAAATTCGGGATGCAATTCTTTCGTGTGAAAGATAAATAGAACTTTTAAAAAGCCACTGTGAACTACTTAGAGGAGAAATTAAAAAACTGGAAAATAAGGTTGGTGAGCTACAGAAAGAACTGTCTGAAAGAAAAGAAGTGAATCACAGTTAGGGCATCAGAAAGTAGAGTGGAAACAAGAGCTCGGCAGCTTGAGGGGAGAATGCGTCGTTAGCACAGTGGAATGTGAAATTCATGGAAATAATATTGACCTTAAAGCAAGAAGAAGAGAATAGAAGAAATGCTGATACGTTATATGAAAAATCAGGGAGCGGTTAAGAAGAAAGGAAGACCAACATAGTAAAGAAGTTGAAATGAAACAGCAACTTGAACTCACTCTCAGAGCACTAGATGGAACTGAAGACTGAGAAATGATCTGAATCAATGTCTCTCCAGGTTATGGAAGCAACATATGACACTCAGAAGCAGCCTTCTGGAGAACGGAATGCCAGAATCTTACAGGAGGGAATCCTGACCAATCACCTTGCCAAACAAAAGCAGAAAGAAATGCTTAATAAGGAAATGAACTCTGAGCTGCTGCTGAATTTGAATCTGAGTCCTATGGAGTGTCTCCTCTAGGATCTACAGATGGGTCATATCTGTATCAGGACCTGCTTTTGAAAACATCACCAGAATATGTACAGGTTTTGAAGAAAAAATATATGATCGGAAAGATAAATAGCAAAAATTTCCCTTCTGGACTGTTTTCATGACATTTTAGTTGTTTCCCATTAAACATGATGAGAAAGTCTTTATTAAAGGGAAATATTTTTGTGAAAAAAAAGAAACTGAATGTGGAATTATATACTGCTGATTCGTGCTAAAAAACAGAGCAGCAGAGAGAGGGAGCGTTAGTGTCAGTGTGATGGAGAGTGAGGACTCGGGGAGGGGCTGGGCAGGGAAAGGTGTGGTGCTCAACTGAATTGGAGCTGGTTAAAATCCAAGAACTTGGGTTGGAAGAGCTGGTGAAAGTCACGTGTCAGCCTGCTGAGCTCAGGAAAGAGGCTGAGGGGTGAACAGGTGTGCAGACACCGAGGTCATCCGCCGGGTGTAGGGAGGCTCATCTGAAGCAGATTTCTTAGACATGGGCCAACCACCTTCCCCAAAGTCCAGGAGCAAAGCAGACAGACCTCTGAAGACAGGGGCCTCAGAGACATTTCCATCTTGGGTGGATTGTTAGAGGGCCTTGGTGGGAGCAGGGCTGGCCTCTGCTATGGGAAGCTGGCCCAGCGGGGTGCCGGGGTGGGGGTTTAAGTGGCTGGGAGGGGTCTGCACATGGCCTTTCTCTGGCCGTGGCCTGGGTGATAGTCTGCCATCTGGGTACCAGAGGAGAGTTGCTTACTGGGTGGCTTCGCAGGCTGGCTGGCACACATGGGTTCTGTGTCCCAGAAAGCTGAGTGACCAGGCAGCCTCCGTGAGGGTTATTTTGTGGGCAGGTCTGGCTTCAGCCTGCATGACTGTGAAATATGGTTGAAAGAAGCAGATATGCTACATTGTCCATCCCTGCCACCTCCCAGCTGTGTGACCTGGGGCCAGTGCCTTCACCTTTCTGGCCTGTTTCCTCATCTTTAAAATGATGCAACAACATTTCCTGCCTTGTGCAGCTTTTGGGAGGATTAGAAAGGAGGGACCATGGAGGGCTGACCGGGAGGGCTGGTGCATGGTAGGCACTCCAGAAACACGGGGGTAACTGTAACGGGCCTATCCACTGAAGGGATTTGCAGTCAAGCAAGACCTCAAGCCAGACCTGATGTGCAGGGGGCAGTCAGATTCTTCATCCATCTTGTTTGCCCTTTCTTAGTTTGTTTGGACTAACATGGAGTCCTCAGTTAAGATCTTGCAAGATTTTTTTTTAACCAAATAAAAATATAACCAACTAAACAAAACCAAGTCCATTTATAACAAAGTCCCACCAGGGCAAACATTTGTAATCTCCCCAGAAAGCATTTTATCCATGGCAGGGAGGCCTGTGGAATTTTAAGAGGCTGCAGCTCGTGTCTTTGAAAACCACCAGCGTCTTCTTGTTTGTCTAGGACTCTCTCCCTGCCGGGGTACTTTTCCATGTGCCCTCATTTCCCAGCAGAGCCTGAGGCCTGTGGGCAGCCGGCAAGGCGCTCTGCACTCAAGAGGGATGCTCTGGAGCAGAG